TTTTTTTATAATTAAAACTATTTCCCCCCCCAAAAAGTAAAGATAAAAAGAATATATAAAAAAAAAACACAAAAACACAAAGAATTTTTATTATATATATTTATCTATCTCCTTCATTATTAATTTATTCTTTCAATAGGAAAAACAGCGAAATCACGCACATCTCGGCTCCAAGATTGTCGAAGGAAGGAAATTTTACCTTACGGTGATAACGCTTTCCAGATTCCCGGTTTAGTCGGTTGATGTTTGGAGGACTTGTTCGAGGCTCTGGTTGTTATAAATGTATATACAGAATACATATATATTTGTTGTTAGCTTGGTTCTCCCCCTTCTAAACCGGTAGTTATTGGGTGGGCATGGCTGATCGCGGCTACTCCCTCCTCTATCCCCTATTTCTTCAATATGGGACGATGGTTGTTGATGGAGACGAAGGAAGTGGATTTCGAGCAAACAAACTGACGCTCTACTCTCCATGGAAGATAAATAAATGCATTCTACATTGTCATATCAATGCGATGGTGAAATTGAACTTGGAGGGGTTTTGCAAACCGAGGCTTGGAGTTTGGAAGTTTGTTTAAAAAATAGCAGGAAGAAAAGAAAGAAAGAAAGAAAGAAAGAAAGAAAGAAAGAAAGAATGGCAATCCTCACCAGCGCAATCTCCCTTACAAGCCCCTCCCGCTGCTGCTCGAAGTGCGTAGACACGTTCGCAGCCGACTGTGGTCGCGGCGGTTGGCCCATGCCTGACGATGTCATCGTTCCTTTGGTCGATGATAGGCGCTCCTCAGCGTGTGGGAATGGTCGAGCTTTGGTCGCTCGTCATTTGAACTAGAGTCAGATGGGTAAATGTATTCTTAATTTATTTCTTTTCCTTTACACTGTATTGAGAATTGGGGCGCGTGTAGATTTGGTTGTGGTTGAAGTGTTGAGTAACTATGAAGGATTTGGAAACTTTTGGAGTGCCACAAATTTTGTTGTTTGCTAACATTGCTAAATCATCCACGCTACCACCTAAGTCAGAAAACGTATAGATATTCCCCATGGGTTATTATGTTTTCGATGTGTTGTGAATAAAAATATTCGATTTGCAACTGATTATATATACGGCATCATCATTATCATCATCAATTCAGGAACAAAAGGTAAAGCACCCTAACATATATCTACAATATAACTGTCCAGCTTTTAACAAACCCTCTATACAACCCAATCCAGCAAAACAGAGGCCAACCGAAGTAGGACAACCAAATAATAACAACAAATATTCTTCCATGAAACTGACTATATGCCAAGGTAATCCTTTATCCTATTAACCCATGAACGACCCGCGCCAAACGGGTATACATACACTCCGCAATCCCCATCAATGCAGTTGAGATCACACCGCCCATAGACCTGGCAATAACATTGCCTTGGATCGGGACAGTGTATTGCCGGCTTCCCAAATAAAGCTGAGTTCGCATTAGTAAGAAAAAAGTAAGAGAATAACATAGTTATCAAGCAAGAGAAGGAAGAGCAAGAAGAGGCGTGGGGGAAAGGTAATATCACTAGTGCTTACTATGCCACATATACTCCATGACCCGCCCACTCGTCTGATCCGGGATGGACGTATCAAGCAGCCACTGTCGCAACTCTTCATATCGCTTCCGTGGTGTTTGCCGAATGGTGCCGGCCGTGACGCCGAACTGGGCGCAACAGCCCACCGCAACGTGGTCTGGCGGTCGCATCGAGCCGGGAAACAGAATTGCAAGGTTTTGCAAGATGCCGAATATAGTTGCAGATTCGCTGGTGTTGATTACGGGCGGAACCGTGGTTAGATCCAGACCCCCTGTGCAGCCCGGGTACGGGTGGCAGCGCATATTGACGAAGCCCTCGCGCATGAGATGCTGGATGTTGAAGCGCTGGAGCATCCGTCTACCATCTAGATGTGGTTGTGGTTGGTTAGACGAGGGCTTTTCCTTTTATAAAGCTCGGGAAATCCTCGACATACCATATTTCTCATCGTCATTGTGCCATTGGTTCCGGTCCGCGTGGAGGAGAGATGGCGGTATCATTGTTGTAATCGTCGTAGTGGTCGACAGGTATCTGATGAAGACACATAAAATTATCAAATAAATCCAAGGGCAAAGGACTTT